GATTATTTACAACAATAAGATTCACAGATCCATTTGTGCAACAGAGTCCAGATAGCAGCATGTAGATGTGTGTAGTTTGGTGATGGGATGGTGTAATTGTATCCCTAGTAATATGTACATTCCCAGAAAAATACCTCATACTCAGTACACCCAATTGTCCACCCCTTGCCATAGGCCATTGGGTGTGCTCCTCCATGGCCATCAGGGAGGGGTACATCTAAACATCTTCTCTAGATTTACACCATTTCACACACCCCTCCATTGATTCCCAGTGAGCTCCTCCCCTTCTCATTATTTCCATAGGGCTTGTGGAGGCCACCTTAGTTGCCATTCCATTTTCAGGTACCATGGTAGCTATTACACAGGTGCTGGCCTTCTAGTTGAGCATTTGCATTCCCATAGCCGTGTTCCCCCCCAGGTTAGCCTTTTGAAGCCATCGCCCACGTACGTCATGAGGTTTTTTGTTGATTGAAACACAACAATGCTAGCAAAAAGACAAACACCACAGTCAAACAACACAAAACATAAATTTTGGGTATTTTGGGTTATTCTTCTGCTGGCGCCAGCTTGCTTGTAGACTGTCTGAAAAACAAACGAAACAATTTCCACTCCCCTGATGGGGACAGATTATTACTTAATAATAATACCACTTAATTTTACAAATCTCCTTGTTAATTGCAGGAAAAATAGAAGAATTACCTCCAGGCTGTTTTTATTTTGTTCTATAGTCAGGCTAGTGAATTACCCCACTTACTGGTCATTTATGAAATTCATGAGGTGGTGTACTTCAGTTTCCCCTCTTGTACAACAGACCAGGTTTGCAGTAGTTTCTCTGCTGTACAAAGCTTTATGTTTATTCTTAGGTAATAGCTGAGAGACAGCTTCAGGTTTCTGCACTGTACACACACACACACACACCCTTAGGGTTAACCTTTTCCCCTTATTTTTAGGCTTGACTTGTTTTTTCACCTCCCTTTCCTGGAGGGCCATAATCTGAGTCTTCTAGTAGCTTGTTTGCTGACCAAATGTATTCATTATTTGCAGCTCCTTTGTGCTGGCACTTATGGGCAGTTCTCTTCTTCCCCCATTAGCTAGGTATTTTGCATCCACACAGAGGCTTTCTGGCTTGCTTTTGGATTTAAAGCTATTAGCAGCTCAGACTGTCTTAAAAGGGACACATTTCACTTCCACCAGAGTTCTGATTACTTTCCATCTCCTGCTCTAAAACACAGATCTGAAAAAGAAAGCACAACCTCTTTTGGCTCCTTTTGGAGTCTAATAGGATTTTAATTAAGTAGCATGTTTTGTCTGCTTTTCTTTTACCCCTTCTCCAATATACACTGCACACGTCCTGGGAAAATGCACATTCCTTCCATAGTTTAACCTCTACAACATTATATTAGCCATATTAATTTTACACAAGGTGTAACTGCCTCCTCTGTGCCCACAGAGTTTTCATGCACCCCCACCAAAGCGACAGTCTGATCCTGCAGAGCCACCCTAAGGCTCAGTGTTCTCATCATTGTTCCCCTTTTCCTTTTCTTTTTCCTGTGCGCACACACAAAATTCTCTTTTACCTAACATCCCTTGCACTGCAATTACTTGTTTTTACACAACTGTACCCCGATTACACTCCCATCTTGTACAACTAGAGACATCCAGGGGCAGCCAAGTTAAGTTCCAATAGAAACCCCTTTAGTGATTACATTACCCAATAATTAAATAATTTTAATCAGATTATCTCTCCGCCTGCTGCCTGCAGAAGTCCCTTATAGACCATTTCTGTAGGAAAAGGGCCCATTTTCCCTCAGAATAGCTGTAAAGGCTTTTGGGGACAGAAGCATAGTGGTACTAGTAGTCACTCTACCTGACCCCGTTGTATAATTTAATTACCAAGCTTCCATCCAATGTGACTGCACAGAGTTGCACATACAGTTACATTTATATAACTGGGTTTTATTATTAAACCAAAAACTTCCTTCTTTTAACACCACAACTGTTACTTTTTACCATTTCCACAACTCCCAAACGTTTACTTTCCTTCAAACCCTGTATTATCAATTTTTGCAAAAGGGAAGAGGTGGAAAGAAACCAATTAAGCCTGTCAGGTCAGTTTAAAGTACAGGCTACCAGCAGCAAATTAAGTAAACTGAGAAAAAGAAGAAGGAAAAGAAGAAAAGGATATAGTTAGCTCTGAGCCAAGAGTAGGCTCCCTGGGTTGCAACAGTTGGGAACCCTCATCCCCAGGTTCTCATCTTGGCTCTGGGAGAAGAGTGGGGGTTGTTACCTGCTCCTGAAAACCCTGCCATTTTTCACTTTGAAACCATTTTTTCCCCCCACTCCCCCAGGACCAAGTCCCAGCTCCTGTCTCTAAAGGTAATCTGTTAACTCTGCTTTTGACTCTAAACCCTGTTGTGCCAAATCATCCCTAACTAATTTACAATCCTTCAGCAGCCCTTGCTGAAGCAGCACCAAACTTGAAAGATTACTGGCAGCTTCCCATAATGCTGCCCTTACTTCAAACCTCTCACAAGTGGCCTGAAGTGCCTCCTTTCCCTGGAAGGCATTCAGTCCCAATGGGCAGGGACCCTCTTCCGCTACCCATATACCAAAGGTGGGTGGGCTCCTCAGCCACCCCCCATCCTTCTGGGTCCCCTAACACTACCTCCATTTCCTTTTTAATCTCATCCCAGGTTGACCCCTGCACCTGGTGTGGGTCCTGGTTCTTCCTTATCCATTTATCCAAAAAATCCCTTACCCTGGCTTGCCAGAACCCACAACTGCCATCATGAGAGTTTGCGATACCCCCTCCAAGCAGCTGCGCGGACTGTTGGGGAAGGGGACTTACAGGCTGCCACTCACCTATCCAATGCAATGCATCCGAGTCATGGCACCAAGATGTTAGGGGGCTTATTCCTTCACCCACTCACTTCCCTGGTCCTTCTCGCATGAACAAAGAGCAACAATACCCAAAGTCTGAAGGTGCAAACAATTCAATGTTTATTGGGGTAAACTTCCAGCAAGCATGATTCCAATTTTCTCTCTCAGTGTCCCCTTTCCCAGCTCTGACACCACAGAGCCTTGCTGCTGTGTTGCCTGCAACATTTTTTGAGTTAGGAAATCATCATCTTTAATGTTTAGCCATTCCAAGGATGTTTTGTTACTAACAGTATGAGACCTCCAGCATATGTTACTCAGATTGAAAGAGGACAGGAAAAGAAAGAAGGGGATAAAAGGGGAAGCTGTGGTGTGAAGCTGAGGGGAAGAGACTCAGGAGAGTGAGAGTGGAGTAAACTGTCAATCAGCATAGGGCAGAGAAACTCCAATTAAAAGTGTAGGAAGTTCTCATAGAAATTAAAGACTTGTGGCAAGCCTAGGTCAGCAGACTCAGACTTGTGAGGCTTGGGCTGCAGGGCTGTAAAATTGCTGTGTAGAGGTTCTGGAGCCCTGGCTCTGGTATCCTCCCCACTCACAGGGTCCCAGACTCCAGCTCAATCCCCAACAGCTACCCAACAATTTTGAGCCATGTAGCCTGAGCCTCAAGAGACCAAGTCAGCTGACACAGGCCATCTGAGGCCATGCTTCATGTCTTTTATTCCAATGTAGACATACTCTTTATGTCCAGAGGCCCCTGGATCACATGATGATGTTGCGGGGGTGACAGGCATGTCCTTTGTCCCAGAGTTCTTAGTATGTGTGGAGGGGTCTTCTCTTCCCTGATCTGGGTCCAGGGGGTGCTGCAGAGAGGAGTTACTCTGGCTGGGTCCCCCCAGTGCAGCATTCCCTGCTTTGTGTACTACTGTTTTGACTAGCTGGTGTGCCCAAACCCTCTTATCATCCACACAGAAAATCCTCCAACCTGCATTTGGAAGTGCTTTAAGCCCAGACTAGTTTACTCAGCTGGGGATATATGTTAGAGTCCAAGTCCTACTTCCATTTGGGCTAGAACCCACCTACTTTGCAGTGAGGACACAAGCAAAGTCACTCAAGTGCTAACACTCTTCAAATGCCTTCCCACGATCCTGCCCAAAGGAACTGAGGGGAAAAACAGACAAATTCTCCTACAATTGACACAGTTGAGTGGGAAAGAATTCAGCACAAAGAACCATGGCATATCTCCTCAGATAAACATTTGCAAGTTTAGCACCAGTGAAGACACAGTAACATTGGTAGTGCTTTGTTGTGGGAATGCTCATCCCTGGGCTAAGCTCAAACTTGGATGCCAATTACCCTTGCTAACTGCAGTGTACACATACCCTTCCAGATCCTGCTGCTGATGGCTGAGTCAACCCACAATGAATTGTTATTCCCTTAAAGACACATAGCTTATGCAGGGGGAGGGAGGAAGAGATAGCTCAGTGGTTTGAGCATTGGCCTGCTAAAGCCAGAGTTGTAAGTTCAATCCTTGAGGGGGCCCTTTAGGGATCTGGGGCAAAAATTGGGGATTGGTCCTGCTTTGAGCAGGGGGTTGGACTAGATGACCTCCTGAGGTCCCTTCCAACCCTGAGATTTTATGATACTTCTATTCTATGAATGAAAACTGGGTCTCTGCTCAGGGTCCCAGGATTGCACATCTCCTTTCCTAGAGGCTTAGGAGCCAGTTCAAGTTCTTCCAAAAGAAAACCCACCATTACATATCAACTTCCAGCTGAATCCTGAGTTAAACAAGATCATAAAGAAATTATTTGGAATTTGCATGCCTGGTTTTTAGAAGCTGGTGCAATATAGCTGCTTGTTCATGAGCGCATGGCTAAAATTCCAAATTCCATCACAGATGTGTTTTGTTAGTATACTCTTTTTTTTTTTTAAACAGCCATTGTAGTCACCCTGCATAACTGTCACCAAGAATGTCTCTTACTCAGACTTGGAAGGATAACAACAGAAGTACTTCCAAAATTAATGTTGGTGATTCAATAGTTAATGCCTCTCCCAGAATTAATATTGACTAACTAAGATGCTGAAGAGCTATTTGTACTAATGACCATTATGTTGTCTTTTAGATGAAATGTGAAATAGCATCTTGTGATGGGGTATACAAACACCATGCTGGATGACAAGGGGTTAATTAAGGTGCTGCTTTGGGCTCAGACAACTCTGCCCCGCCACAACTGCAAGGTATGCACAGGCTGGAGGAGGAGTTCAAAAGGCAAAGCAGACCAAATCACTTGTTGGCAGACTAGGGATGAGGAAAGACCTTCAGACCCTGAAGAAAGGGTTGACTGAAGGCAGGAGCTTCCCAGACAATCATTGTCTAAAGGACCCACCCTGAGGGAAAGGAGGGCCAGATCCTGATGCACCTGAAAGGGAATCATTCTCCTCTATCTCTTACTAAGTCAGTTCATTTGCAATGATTTGCCTTGTGTTTTGTTCATGGACTACCCTGGAAGGGGACAGATTTTAAAGTGAGCTGGCTAGAGGATCAAGTCACAGGAAAAGGTGGGCCACTGCAGAGGTGAATCAGCCATTGGCAAGAGAGAGCTACTGAGAGGTGAAACAGCCATTGGCAAGAGAGAGCCACGGTGAGAGAGCTACTATGCCAGGCCTGGCCACAAAGAGGTGCCAGAGGTGAGTTGATCCCCTTCAAAGTCCTCCTTAATGACTTTTGGCATTTGAAAATCCCATATTCCTGTCTCAGGAGTTGAGGTGATAATCTCAATACTGTTACCAAAATCCAAGTTACATTATATAAATTTTAAAAATTAAATGTTGTTTACCTGAACCCACTGGAGGTATTTTAAGTTATTCTTTACTATCCCCTTAAAGCACTACATAGAATTGCTAATGTAGTGTTACTGGCTGTATTTTAATGGAGGGGGAACCATATGTGTGAAACAACTTGGGAGCCCTGGGGAGTAAAGTTGCTAGACATATGGTCTCTAAACATTAAAGAGAACATGCAGCAGTTTACTAAATTAATTTTATGAAGTGTCACTTTTTTATTTAGTTTAGCATAAGAGTGATCTTTCAACTCCTCTAGAATGTTGATATGACCTTTGGTTGTTGGAATAGAGTAGATCAGCCTTTAGGCATACACTAGATATGAAAAATCTCATCGTCCGGTTTAAAGTCTCAGTTTTATGAGGGTCCTTTAATACAGTTTTACAAAACTGTAAAGGGGCCTTACAATGGGCATACACTGTGTGGCAGAGCTCCGACCTTGTCCCCGTGGGTCCCGCACTTCCAGGCAGTTTATGCTAGCTTCAGAGGCTCACTGCAACCCTCCACGTAGCCCTTCTCTCTCTAGGGCCAGGGATACAGTCTACTGAGCCCTTTTCATCAAAGCCAGCAATGGAGGTTGGTGAGAGAGTTCCCACAGTCTGTTGCTCCTACAGCCTCATGCCAAAACAGTTTAGCCTCCTGTCCTGACAGGGGCCTGTTTTCCCCTCCCAGGAGGTGTTTCTGTAGTGGTGGGTTGGAGGGAACCCAGACCCGCCCTCTACTCCGGGTTCCGGTCCAGGGACCCTAATGGTAGCAGCTGTTGGCAGTCAACCTTTTACAGCCAGAGTTGCTACATGTCCCTGGGCTACTTCCCCACAGCTCTCCTGCTTCTCTCTTACCAATGACTTGAAGGTGTCTTCATTAACCAGCCCTTCAGCCACACTTCCTCTCCTCTAGCTCCCCAACTCCTCTCTGCCTGACTGGAGTGAGCCCTTTTATATTATCAGAGGGCCCTTAATTAGAGTCAGGTGGTCACATTAGCTTAATGGCCTCACCTGACTCTTTGCAGGTTAATTGGAGTCAGGTGTTCTCACTAGCCTGGAGCAGCCCCTGCTCTGGTCAGTCAGGTAACAGAAAACTGTTAATCCAGTGGCCAGTATATCTGCTTCAAAAAGATACTCTGTTGTACCCAATTGGCCTGGGTCTATCACAACTGCTAGACAGGTGTAAATGGGCCTCGGTATAATTAAGAACCAGACACTCAGTATCTATCAGTAAAACCAATCTCCTTTCCTATACAGTAGAAAAATTAAAATGGTCGATCTACTGACCTGCTTGCAAACAGTTGATTCTGCAACAAACACATTAAAAGAATGGGACCCCCAACAATAATAAAACTATAGGTGTTGAAAGCCTGGCTGTTTTAGCATTGCCTGAATTCTTGCTGGACTAAAATGGAAGAGTTCTGAACTATAAATAAATATCACTTTCGGTCCCCTAAATAGACACTTTTGCTGAATAACTTAGGTATAGTGACTATTTTAGTAGGAGATTGAGATAATGCAAAGATACTCCGGAAATCATAGAACCATAGGGTTAGAAGGGACCGCAAGGGTCATCTAGTCTAACTCTTGTCAAAATACAGGATTTGTTGTGTCTAAACCATCCAGGACAGGTGGTGACCCAGCTTTCTTTTGAAGACCTCAAGTGAAGGAGCTTCTATGACCTCCCGAGGGAGTCTGTTCCATTGTCCTACTGTTCTTACAATTAAGCAGTGTTTCCTGAGATTTAATCTAAAACTGTTATTCTATAGTTTGAACCCATTGCCTATTGTCTTGCCCTCTGTGGCAAAATAGAACAACTTTTTTCCATCTTTTTTATGACAGCTTTTCAAGCCTTTCAAGAAGACTGCTAATATGTCCCTCCTGAATCTCCTCTTTTCCATACTAAACATACCCAGTCCCTTCAGCCTTTGCTCATATGGCGTGCATTCCATCCTTTTGATCATCATTGTCAATGTATGGATAAAGGTATGGAAAAGATTTACTTCACTACTATGCAGCTACCTGATAGCTGAAAAAAATCAGTTAATTAAGAAGTGAACATTCATTAGAATAACCTTGACTTATAAGTTTCAGAGTAACAGCCGTGTTAGTCTTTATTCGCAAAAAGAAAAGGAGTACTTGTGGCACCTTAGAGACTAACCAATTTATTTGAGCATGAGCTTTCGTGAGCTACAGCTCACTTCACGGTATGCATCCAATGAAGTGAGCTGTAGCTCACGAAAGCTCATGCTCAAATAAATTGGTTAGTCTCTAAGGTGCCACAAGTACTCCTTTTCTTCTTGACATAACTATTCCTGTGAAATACTGCTGTAAATAATTAATTAGACACAATAACTGGATGGATGGCACGTCAGGTTTTTAAAGCCAGAGAAGTGTTTTCTTGAACCTTTGCCTTAGCTTGGCTGTGACTATATATTGCTAGCACCTGGGATAAGCCTCAGGCTCTCCAAACCATCAGAAACAGAATTCCCATTCATTTAATTCTGAAAAGGACCCTGACTGAAACGTTGTCTTTTTTACTTTATTTTCACAATAACAACACTTTCAAAGAGTTAATTTTTAATATAAGAAAATGCTTCAATTTCACTTCAAATAAAAATATATTGGATTATAAACTTTGGGCCAGATTCTGCCATCCTTACTTATACTAAGTAGTACTTTTTTGCAAGTAATATCAGTGAAATAAAGGCAGTTAATAAGGAACTGCACAACATGAGCAAAGGTATCACAATGACCCATAAGAATTGGGTAGGAAATATGTACATAGAGTTCTAGTTTGTACTGAATTTAGTTGTAATAAAGGGATTACACAGATAATCCTGAAGACTAAAGTGCTCTGTTTAGTTACAGAATTAATACTGAAAGTAGAGTCACAGGAGAGTCTTTTTTTCCCAGTGTGTTAATAATGTGTCTTATACTTGACCCAGAAGAAGCACGGGCTAGAGGCAGGGCAGTTCAACCCTTGGCCTCTCTGCTGAAACCGACAAAAAGCCAAATACAACGGTACCATCATAATCCGTGTAATGAAGATTTTCAAATACACACACATTGCTGTGCAAAACACAAAAGAGAAAGCATACAGTACGTTACTACTGAAAAAACATCAAAAAGTCAAAATAACTTGGATGCCATACATCTTACACCCACATGATGATTGTGAAAGCTCACCAGAACAGGTATACAACTTTACATGTTTGTTTTTTGGTTTTTCTATAAATTCACGAAGAAGTGAAAAAAGATGAAAAAAGCCGGGGGGGGGAATGAGGAATTTAGAGGCACAGTAGTAAAGATGACCATTATTACCCATTTTTTTCCAACAGCGCTAAAGCTACAGGCTCCCCCAAGGGAAGATGGCTGCCATTATTGTAAAATTTGCTATCAGACCTCTGACCCTTCAAACCTGTCAACATATGGCACAAGAGATCAAAATGTGGAACATCTATATTTTCTTGTATAGCAGGCAATAATTAACAGATTATCATGGTTTTCACTACAAAACTTTATCTTCAAAGGATATTTTCTCATTATGTGAATAACATAAAATGATTTGTTTAAAAAGAAAACTGGAATTCTAGAATGTGAACTTTCTAAGATATAGTCTAGAATGCTACCACTTGAGCTACTGGTTTGGCTTCCTGGTTGCCAGCAAGTAGAATGATATGTGATCCACATTTTGTTGGGTTACACAACTATAGGTAGATAGCAACAGAATGCTGCAAATCAGGACTCCTGGGTTCTATTGCCAGCTGTGAGAAGTAATGTGGTCTAGTGGGTCAATTAGGAGTCAGGAACCCTAGTTTCTATTTCATGATTCTTAGAGGAGAGTGGTGTAGTTGTAAGAGAAAGAGGACTGGGAATCAGGCCTCATGGGCTCTCACCCCAGCAAAGCCAAGCATGTTGATTTGACAGATTTTGTCTGACAAGCTAAATGATAGGTTAATCTACCATATTGGAGACGTAGGTCCTAGCTTTGATCTAATTTAACTATAAAATTAAACTTATTTTCAAAATGGTGTGGATGGTACTTGCTCTGGGGGTGAAGTCTTGCTCTGTAATAAGATAAGCCTTAATTATGACCTCATGCCTCCCCCCCACAAACACACCACACCACACAATTAATTTGTGCAAATATATCAACCCTGAATAGTTGCTAATATTGCTTAGATTTAATTGAAGTTTGTGTTATATACTGTGAGGGAGACTAATATGTTGTGTGTTTGTTAATCAGTAGGAGGCAAACAGAAGTTCTTTGTGACAAGGCAGCTCCTGTTGCTGGCAGTGGAAATATTGTGTGGCAGTAGGGTACAATTAAGAAGCATAGCTTAGCACTTTTTTTGTCTCTTTAAGGTTGATTGGAAGAGCTCACACTTTACCAGCCTTAAGACATATTCAAGTTTGTCTTTATGGAATACGCAAAGAGAATGGACTGCTAAAATTTCTCTTTAAAGTTTTCTCATCTAAGGCACCTCTTATTTCCAGGAAATTCTTCTAAACAATCCAGAATTTTACCAGATTGGAATCCATTCATTATATCTGTTTCTTTTTCAACCATTTCCATGGAAGTTCATTTACTGAAAAAAGTCTACTATCTAATTAGATGTAAAGTCAATGTATGCACATGGAGAAACACTGAAAACTCCTTAGATCTGTTATATCTGGATCAAAATTTTGCAACAGACAGTTGTTTTTACAGCAATGATTATGGATAATGTAACCCCCTTTACTTTTTTATTGCATGGTATTCAGCCCACCCCCTCCGCCAAAAAAAACCTCTCCAAAACATTTATTGCTCTAATTATCGCTGTTGTTTCTACTTGCTCTGAGTTGATATGGAAACATTCTCAGACAAGATGGCTGTATAGAGCCGTGAGTTACTGCAAAGAAATAGCTGCTATTTCCAAACACCAGGGGGCAGTGCAAGAAGTTGTTAACCATACTCAGTAGCTGTTTTGAAGCAGGTGTGGAAGGCTTCATTGAGGGTGGACTTTCCTGCATGTGCACACGCACCCTTACTTAGACTCTGGAAGCTCCTGCACAATCAGTAGTGAGTTCTGTCAGGGGTACAAAACTGGCAGTCATGTTGAGCGCCAGTCAGATCCAGCCCAACCCTTCAACGGCAAGACAGAGCTGTCAGGTTAACCCAAACTAAATCTGTGGATTGGATCTCAATGCAGTTTCCTATAAATTTACAGAAGTCAGTGGGATTGAAACTGGAAAAATTCCATACAGGAGGAATTACAGACTGGAGGCCATGTTCCTAACATCATTGATCCAAGTAGCTATAGTAATTGTCAGTTTTTTCCCCTCACTGGAAGTTGTATATGTGCTCAGTAGTGTGAATTTGGGGAAAAAAACAAAACAAAAAACATAGGTATGTGGTAGAACTAAATGTTTTATTTAACTGTCAATATCATACCAAGGGTAAGTCAGGATGAAAGCAGAAAATCTCCCAAACACTGTATTTATTTTGTAAAGTATTATATATAAGGGTTTGGGTCCTGTGGTACATTTTTCATTTTAAAGGAAAATAACAAATCTCTAGCTAGTTATGTTAGCCTAGTAGGGGGCATTGTATCTGTTATACTGTAATGACTTCTATTTGAATTGTTATTCATTAAAAGGTACTTGAAACTATTAATTTTGTGGGCAATGAAGTTCAGAACATTACAAACTTTCATAAAACATTGCTCAATATTCTTTTATAGTACAATATATTATACAATCAGTTGGTTTAACAGCTGATTTTTAGGGTTTAAAAATCCTGTTACCTCATTGGGGTGCCTGGACCTTGATTGTCACAGCCACCAATGCCTGAGGCCCCAGCCATGGCATGGAACATATTAGGTGAGATATGGCTAGATGATCATAGAATCATAGAATATCAGGGTTGAAAGGGACCTCAGGAGGTCATCTAGTCCAACCCCCTGCTCAAAGCAGGGCCAATCCCCAATTTTTGCCCCAGATCCCTAAAGAGCCCCCTCAAGGATTGACTTCACAACCCTGGGTTTAGCAGGCCAATGCTCAAACCACTGAGCTATCCCTCCCCCATCTTAGTAAGTGAACCAGTCCCATGCTGCAGAGCAAGGCACAAAAACAAAAATCCAAGGCCCAGACCAACAGGAGGACTGAGGTTTTTAGTTCCCACTTTAGCCACCTAAATTCAAAAGTAAGGCACACCGAGATCGTCAAAACTACTGCTAAACAGATGCCTGACCCTGGAGGTGCCCAAAATTCCTTTACATGTACACTTCCACCCTAAAAGTCCCCCAAGCAGAAACTTAGATGTTTAACTGTAGGTACCCAGTCACCTACATGAATTTATCCAGCAATGTGGGGGAAATTTTATTTTTACCTCTATCTCCTCTTACACCATCTTAGATTCCCTTAACAACAACCAGGAATCCATGTTTGGCACCCTTCTTTCCCATCCCCTGTTATCTTTGGCGCCCTTTTTGTCCAAAGGCGGGAAACCGGCAGGTCACCTAATTGGGAGTCTGCCCAGCAACTGGGACTGTATGTAAGACCTGCTTTCTAGTCAGACAACTGGAGAGCAGTTTATCTGGGAGGTAGCATTTATCTGGGAGGTAGCAAGTGCTGCTGAGTGCTGCTGCTCACCTTGGAGGGTATGCATAGGACCACACTCAAGGGTTGTCAGGAGAGTACATACCTGCATACAAGAGCGAGCTGTCATCTGTCTCTCTGATCCTTCTCACACATCCACTCATGATGACGCAAGGAAGAAGAGCAAATATTCAAACAAGAACTGAGCATCCATCAGCCTGTGCCTGGAGGGTTCTGTTTTCCTGCCTACTGAGTCATCAGGACCTGGAACCGGAGCTAGTCCTGTCTTGACGGTGCCATTGGACGAAGCTGCAGGATATGGTATAGAACCAACACCGCTCTTCTACCTAGTCTAATCTGGGGGTAGCCTTGGGTTAAGGCTTTGAGCCCTCCTCTGTTATAGCCCGTGCCCCTTTTGTATTTGGTCCCCTGTTTGGTTGTATTTTGGGAATCCTTGTGTTTTGTTTAATACTTTACTTTGTTATACTTACCTGAGTTCACCTTTACCTTGTTAAATGTTGTCTGAGAATAAACCTGTTCTTGCTTTGCACCTTATCCTTCTGTTAGTTTTCCTTGGGGAAGAAAGGCCCTGTTGATAGATGCGGGACAGGGAAGACATACCTGAGACTGGTCCTCTGGTCAAGTTAAAAATCCAGTCAACAGCAATGCCTCTACCCCATCCCCGCTTCTCCTTCTTGGCAAGATCACCAGGGCAGCACGGAAGGAAAATTCCAGTCACAGGGTAACCCTGAATTACTTGTCAGATCATTGGAGATTCCCAAGTCATAACACAAACACACACAATATATTAAGAGAAATGGTAGTAAACAGGAAGTTAATATGACATGACATAGAGTAAATCAATCTCCCAGGGACATTGGTGCCCTCCACACAGTAATAATACCAATGAGATTTCCCCAAACTCTCAGTCATGTGACATGATATAGCAGTAATAAAATTGAATGGCCTGTTGATAGGCATGGTCAGTAGGGACCCTTGATGACCCATGAAAATTTTACCTTCTGTAACAGCATTAAGCAATCTGATTGACTTATTTCAGGACAGCCCCAAAGACTCACACGTAGGATAAGATGGTAAGTCCCTCCAACAGGTTTAATAGACAGTAGGTAGTAAAATCCCCAAGTCTTACCCCATGGGTTGAGGACACAGGTCAGAGACTAGGGGGTCTCCTAAACAATTTCCCCAACTAAAAAATGGTTCACTCACAATTATGTGAATGATCCTCAGGTTCAAAGCAGAATCCAGTCTCCTCAGCAACTGCAGACGGGCTGACAATCACTCTTCAGAGAGGAATCAAGCTGCTTCTGGGTCCCAAGATTTCCCCTCACCATGAAGGGATACAGGGCTCAGGTGCTGATTATAATAACTATAATAACTAAAAATCCTGACTGTTAGGTCTAATCTACACTACTGCACTACATCCATGCAGCTCCTGTTGCTATAATTACCCTACCTCAAAGGGAGGCAGAAGCTACGTTGGCGGAAGAGCATCTCCCACCGACATAGTGCAGTGTGGACACCGCTTTAAATTGATGTAACTTATGTTGCTCGGGGGGGTGGGGGTGGCTTTTTCAGATTCCTGAGCAATGTAACTTACATTGACTAAAGTGATAGTGTAGACAAGCCATTAGTCTCCTGATGAGAGCTCAGCAGATAGGCAATCCTGAACTAGCAGGCAGAGCAGTACTTGCCACATGGTAAATGGTTTATCTAGGGGGCTGAAGAACTAACTCAGCCTGACTGGATGGGCAGTTTTCCCAAATCAATCTTATAAACTGGGTGTTCCTTTGAAGAGAAAAAGGAGCAAGCTTAGGGACATTGTTTACAGTTATGCAGAGACTACCAGGTAGAAGCCTGTTCTCAGGGGGACCCTGCCTATAAGGCTGGGACTCATGAGCTCACCCACATCATCAGTCCCTTTCAGAGCCCTCCAAAATGGCTTTCCTCCACGCACAGTGTGCCTGGGGCAGGTATCTCACTGAGGACCATCCTATTGGTAGGCTAGCTCTGCTTTCCTGGGCTTTTTCCTGTAACCCCTCTTCTCACAGACACTGCTCCTCCACTGATCCTTCATGCTGGTGGCTGTCCAGGCACCCTGTTATATACCCATGAGGCAACGGGACCCCTGATGCTCAAAATAGTGTCTCTCCTCTCTCCCTCTTGGTTTCCTAGCAACTAGGACTGAGTCTGCCCTTGGCCGCCCTTTTTTCAGGCTCAGTGTGCCTCTCCCTGAGGTCCTAGCACAGACACACAAGAACTACACTTAGCTCCACAAGGGTTATGCTGCTTTATATACCCAGCCACTAGGTGATGACACCGAGCACTAAGTACCCAAGGCCCATTGAGTCAAAGTGTGGGGGGGAACATCCCTGAGGAGAGAGAGAGGAGTCATAGAATCATAGAATATTAGGGTTGGAAGAGACCTCAGGAGGTCACCTAGTCCAATCCCCTGCTCAAAGCAGGACCAACACCAACTGAATCATCCCAGCCAAGGCTTTGTCAAGACGGGCCTTAAAAACCTCTAAGGCTAGAGATCCCACCACCTCCCTAGGTAACCCATTCCAGTGCTTCACCACCCTCCTAGTGAAATAATGTTTCCTAATATCCAACCTAGACCTCCCCCACTGCAACTTGAGACCATTGCTTCTTGTTCTGTCATCTGCCACCACTGAGAAGCCTAGCTCCATCCTAGCTCCATCCTCTCTGGAACCCCCCTTCAGGTAGTTGAAGGCTGCTATCAAATCCCCCTCACTCTTCTCTTCTGCAGACTAAATAAGCCCAGTTCCCTCAGCCTCTCCTCATAAGTCATGTGCCCCAGCCCCCTAATCATTTTTGTCACCCTCTGCTAGACTCTCTCCAATTTGTCCACATCCCTTCTGTCGTGGCGGGGACCAAAACTGGATGCAATACACCAGGTGTGGCCTCACCAGTGCCGAATAGAGGGGAATAATCACTTCCTTTGATCTGCTGGTAATTCTTCTACTAATACAGCCCAATATACCACTGGCCTTATTAGCAACAAGGGCACACTGCTGACTCATATCCAGCTTCTCGTCCACTGTAATTCCCCAGGTCCTTTTCTGCAGAACTGCTGCTTAGCCAGTTGGTCCCCAGCCTGTTGCAGTGCATGGGATTCTTCCTTTCTAAGTGCAGAACTCTGCACTGTTCTTGTTGAACCTCATCAGATTTCTTTTGGCCCAATCCTCCAATTTGTCTAGGTCACTCTGGACCCTATCCCTACCCTCCATTGTATCTACCTCTCCCCCCAGCTTAGTGTCATCTGCGAAGTTGCTGAGGGTGAAATTAATCCCATCACCCAGATCATTAATAAAGGAATAAGGTGCTGCACCTCCCTTGAGGATCGGGCGTTCCAGAAGGGGGATTACATGGTACTAGTCCAAGTCTAAAACTGGATATTGGTCCAAACCAGTGTGAAACGCTGCCTCCACTTCCACCCATGTAATCTCTTTGACTTCACTTAAGCTGAAAAGAGTTACAGCAGGAATGAATTCAGCCCCGTGATTTCAGTGGGAATATACAGGTATAACTATATTTTATATAGTGGAAGTGTTATCTAAAGTTTTATTAATTCAAAATTACCCACTTGATTAACAAAAGTGTCTCTCCCCAAGGAAAGAGATGAAAATGATTAGGGGGCTGGGGCACATGACTTATGAGGAGAGGCTGAGGGAACTGGGGTTATTTAGTCTGCAGAAGAGAAGAGTGAGGGGGGATTTGACAGCAGCTTTCAACTACCTGAAGGGGGGTTCCAAAGAGGATGGAGCTAGGCTGTTCTCAGTGGTGGCAGATGACAGAACAAGAAGCAATGGTCTCAAGTTGCAGTGGGGGAGGTCTAGGTTGGATATTAGGAAACATTATTTCACTAGGAGGGTGGTGAAGCACTGGAATGGGTTACCTAGGGAGGTGGTGGAATCTCTATCCTTAGAGGTTTTTAAGGCCCGTCTTGACAAAGCCCTGGCTGGGATGATTTAGTTGGGGTTGGTCCTGCTTTGAGCAGGGGGTTGGACTAGATGACCTCCTGAGGTCTCTTCCAACCCTAATATTCTATGATTCCATTCTATGATTCTATGATACTGGTAAGAATCAGAAACATTCAGCTGACTGTAAACTTGCTGGAAAATATGTTTTTTGGCTCACCAAGACTATTAGCAAATACAAGTTGAATTCAGCTAATAGTTTTGTCTGGAAGAAAAATGGATTTTTTTTTAGAGAAACTTGCAATATTTTGAAATGAAACACTTCAAGTTTTTGTTTCAAAATGGCATTTAATTTAGAAATTGAACTTTTAAATAATAAAGAAAAAGCAAAACAAATGAAAAGGGTGAAAAACATTTGAAAATGACCCATAATGAAATTTTAAAAATAAAAACTTTTAATCAACCCCAAATGACCTTTTTTTGGTTTGGCCTTCTCAGCTTTAATTATCAGGATGGTGAGTGGTATAGTTCCTGAGCCAAATCCTGACCTCATTGAAGTCAATGAGAGTTTTGTCATCTATGTCAATAAAAACAGGATTTCACCACCTATTTTGAAACTTCTCCCTTAGTCCCACCTACTGTATCTTTGGAGGCTGGTGTCCCTTCCAAAACAAAAGATTAATGTGTACAGAGCTAATTCATGTCTTACCTTCCTGCAGGCTGAATTTCTGCAGCTTCCTTGGTATCTTTTGAGACTCCCGTGCTTCCTTCTGGTTTTCACAATCACCTGGCACTAGTCCTGATGTTGCTTCTTTCATTTAGAGGATGAGCCTCTTATTTATTCACAGCTAGTGGAGTAGCTAGTTTAGATCATGTGGTAGGGGCTTTAATTTGGTGCTGAAGGTATTGGCTTTGAATAGTTTTAAAGACATGGTGCCTGTAGTGTCTAGGGTCAAAGATTTGTTACTCAGTCAAATTACTTGTCAGCTAGCACAAAACACTCTAGAGGAAACACTTTACACTGACTAGCTGCGGCATCCTAGGGTCTGTATGCTAAATGAAAATTTGGGCAGACTACTGGTATTTTTCCAGTTATCTGCAGTAATCTTTGCACCCATAGTTTTCAGGAACTGGTAGACTATTATGTACACTCAAAGTGGAAAATACAGATCAAAAGTGTGCCTGAGTAACATGCAAGTCTGCAAGCAGCAGTGAGCCAGGAGTGAATCATCCATTTCACAGCTCAGGTTTTCCTGGACAGACAAAAATCTCGAGGAACTCTTGGTATGAGCTCTAAAAATATAGTGAAGTGAATGTTTGACTTTCTTGCTGGTTTTCTGTGGGGCTGTTCTTTTTACAGTGCTATTGAAAATTCTACCACCACTCAGAAAAGATGATGGAGTTACATGAAAACTAAGTGTTCTGAATCAGCGCTGTCTTGGAATTTCTTTGCATTTAAAAAAGAAATAAAACAACTATATATGAATGTGCAGTGTAAGGCTGTCAGAGTAAGGTCTCATGCATCAACAGCTTTTACACAACTATTCACTCTGGTATGCACTGAAAACT